AGAGCAACAACATCATAGTGTCACAGCAGCATGGATTCCGCCAAAATCTGTCCCGCAACACAAACTTGTTACTAGTCCGAGCAAGCTGGAAGAAGCCAACCGATGACAGATAAGGACCTGACGTCGTATACTTGAACTTCTCTAAAGCATTCGATCACCTGGATAGCTGTATTCTTCTTCACAAAATTCAAAGTCACGGGATCAGTGGCCTTGTGCTTGCTTGGGATAAGCAACTTCATCATTCAACGTCAGTTGGATGTGAGAGTCCACAACGACATCTCCGATCCAACCTAAGTCCAATGTTGTGTGCCCCAAGGATCGGTACCAGAATCACTTCTGTTCCTGATATTCATGAACGGTCTCGCTAGGATGCTCCAACCTGACTCCTTACCATTTATAGACGACGTCAAAATCTGGCATAAGATCAAGACAGTGGGCGAGCACGCGGCACCAGAAAGAAATCTCGACAGGGCTTACACGTGGTCCACCGAAAACCGGATCTACTTTAACCAGGTGAAATGCAAAGTTCGGAGCATACACCATCAGCGTAAACAAAAATATCGACTTGGAGAGCAGCTGCTAGAACATGCTATCCAGGAAACTGACTTAGCAGTGATCGTGCAAGACGATCTTGACTGCTTGAAACAGACCGAGAAAGGATCCAGAAGAGCTAGTCAACAGGTTAGCCTCGTACGAAGGGCGTTCAGGAGGTTCGAGCCATCAATCTTTTCACAAATAATGAATGCCTACGTGAAGTCCCAAGTGGAACAAGCGATCCAGGCCTGGCGACCTCGTCGCATATAGAGTGCTGCTGCGTCCGAAGCTCCACAAGGTGGGGCGACAAAAATCGTTAGAGAACTGTTTCCTCTCTCCTACGAACGCAGACTGCAATCCCTAGGCTTGTACATCGGCGAATGCTGGCGCCTGCGAGAACTTATTATGGTGCAGCAACTACTGACTAACCGCAACCACGCCTGTCGCGATCTGTTACGTATCTGCCACAATACCAACCTTAGAGACTATCAGCTTAAAATGACCACACACCACAGTCGACTTACGTGTCGATAAAGCCTTCTCTTCTACCGGGTCTCTAGACCGTGGAAGGCTCTTCTTTCCCACGTTATGTTACCCCCCCCCCATAACAAGGCGGTTAAAAAAACGATTCGACCGAACTCTATCCCATTTACATTACGCGATTTAATGTTTCCATCTAAAGGGGAATCAATGCGAACGGCGTGCTCACCGATCTTCTCTGGTCCATAACGATGAGCAGACCATGTGAATAACTCGGTTAGTCATCTTAAAAAAGAATTTTTCCTTTTTCCTGTCACTTCAAACAGTCATTTGTAATCCCCATTCCGGTCACCCTCCGGGAGTTATCAAGTAATGCATTCTTGCCCGTTATAAATCATTGCTCATACCCTTCTCGATATTACCTAGGGAACTAACACTAAATATTCGTCGGTTTACAGCAAATGAGCAATACATGGATTTAGTAAAATATATGTAAAATTGCGTCCGCGCCAATTTGTGATCCACGCCACACTCATCACCACCCAGTACACGTATCATGCGCTCACGACACATGTCACCCTGGGGTACGATGACATTGTTGAGCAGCTGGGCGTGACTACTCTGTGGATGCGTACAAGTAGCAGTATCACTCGCAAACAGTTCAAAATGAGTTCAACAGTTCAATAGTGTGTGATGGGATAAAAAGCACAAGACCCACAGGATGGAAGTGCAAAAGAAAATTAACTCAAAAAGGTTCTAATGTGGAACGTGGAATATCAGTAGTTAAGCCATTGCACTTTATCAAACGGTTGTGTAGCATTGATCACTAAGATGAAACTCGAATGGTTTTTCAAATGTCGTGAGGTCTAGTACGTTCACATGTGCTGATAGTGCATTCCAGAGCACAGATACTAAGTGAGAAGAAATACTTTCTACAATTCACACGGCAGTGTTGCGTCATTAGTTTCAGGTGGTTCCCTCGGCATTGTTTGTAAGGGGCTAGAGTCAGCAGTGATGTACATGGATGCTCGCTCTCAGTTAGTATCCGGTATGTAAGAATAAGACGTTCGCAAAGCCGTCGGTATTCCGAGGAGAACACACCGAGTACACGAAGGCGCAGTTCGAAACTGAGACCGGATAGTCCACGCATTGCCTTTGCGGTTCTTCTTTGGGGTTGTTCCAATAGACGCATGTCGTGTTGTAACCATGGAAATCAGGGCTGAATTGCATATTCAACGTGAGAACGAATATACGAGTTAATCAGCAATGGTATTAGCCGTCGCTCAAAGGTGCCGAGAGCTCGCCACAAAAGCCTCATGTTCAAGTTTGCCACACTTGCTTCTTTCGAACATTGGAGTGAATTGTCGAGACTTTCTTGCATAAGTATACCTAAGTCGCGTTCGCTAGTCACGTGTAAGAAGGGCGTGATGTCCGAAAAGATGTGTTAACGAAGCTGCTGCGCACCGTCAGCAGGTGGCATTTTGCAGGGTTCAGTGGGAGATGGTTCGTTTCTGCTAGTTCCTTAATCCGCGCCAGATCATCCTGAAGATAGACAAGCTCGGATGCTGAGCGAACCGCTCTCCATTTTTGTAATTAGTAGGGGATTAATTAGGTTTTTGTGTAAATTCGTCGCAAGTTAGACACAGGCATCGTCTGCAAATATTGGCATAGGGGATAGAATGGCTGCCGGAAGGTCATTAATGTAGACTAAAAACAGTAGCAGGCCGAGGACGGATCCTTGCGGTACACCACTGGAGACGCATAGGCTTTCAGTGTGAGTGTCGGCCACTCTTACTTTGATTGCTCTGTCGTGCAAGTAGTCTTCCAACCAGGTGAGCAGGGAACCGTTGATACCGTAGGCAGCAAGCTTTTGGAGGAGAAGTGATTGACCCTGTGGGATGCTTAGAAAAATCTAAGTAAATAACATCTATGGGGACTACTTCATCAGCCGCCCTAGTCCATGAGTCTCGAGTAGACAGCAAATTAGTTAGTTAAGATTGTCTGCGTCTGAAACCATGTTGGGCGATCACCGATTCCATAACTTTTGATAAAACAGGAAGGAGAGTAATAGGTCGGAAGTTCGCAGGATCCGATCGCCTACCTCCTTTATATATTGGAGTGGTAATTCCCATTTTCCACTCAGATGAGAGTGTATGGGAGTAAGCAGACCCTGAAAAAGGCCACAAGTGGTACTGCTATGGTGGGAGCAAAAGTTTTACGTACTTTTGGGCAGATCATGTCGATTCCAGGGCCACTGTACTCCCGGAGAGATTGCAATTTGCTTGCTTATGATCGTCAGGTCATGAAATAAAAAAGAAATCGCCAACTTTACGCCGTAATGGCGCGTCGCTGGTAGGTGACCACCATCAATCGCGCACGGGTTGAGTATACCGCCAGGAAGCCCAACCCTACGCGTATTGCAAACCATGCGCGCAGACCACTCGGCCACCTGCCATGGGTGGCGCACAGTGAGAGCAGCAGGTCAGCGTTCCCATTGGCTGTGCCAACAACATACGAACCGACTACGTTTGTTCACACTGGGGCATGACGCCTAACGCGCGCATTGAAATTATCCAGTAGTCGGTCGCTCCTCGGCACAGACTGTAACACGGAGGATAACTGAGTGACAAATTGATCTTTCATGTCATCAGGATAACACATCGTTGGGCCATACGTGCTAATAAAATTGGCTAGTTTACCTCTTCCAAGTCGCAGCAGAAGAGTGATCAATCGTGGGCTGATGCCAGTAGGCTGCGCCACCAGCTACCCATTCAGGCGGTCGAAGGGTGCAAATCTGATCTCATGTTCACGTGGTGTTGTGGTTACGTTTCCCACCCGGTATAACATGTAACTAGCATCAGCTGCATGCAGGTTTCCTAGCTCAGTGAGTCGTGTCTCGCTTATTGCAGCAATGTCCATCTCGTGGCGCGCGCGATTGCCATCGCGACCATTGGCGTGTGTCGCTCACTCGTGTTCCGGTCGAATAGTGCGCGCACGTTACAGCACCCGATGTTGAGCGCTTTGCGCGATGGCGAGCAGTCGCACGCATGGTTAGATGATATGGGAACGGGGAGAGTACGTGCAGGAGATGAAGCAAGGTGGCGTCAGCGGATGCACGTTTACGCTTATGCACCTCGCTGTATGCAGCAAACAAGGCGACCCTTTTTCTAGTGCCACTGTAGCATGGAACTATTATAATTGGCATGATGTATGGTTATGGGTTGGATTAGGATATTGACAGGGCGTCCATACCTGACATATGAACGACTCGGGCCCTCAGCCATAGCCTTCGATAAAGCAAACACCCAAAAGACAGCGGACCGAGCGCCATGAGTCAGTGAAGCGACACGCGGAGTTGTGTGTGTCCTGGCAGCTAACTAAAAGTAGGTTGTAACCCAACTCCGACTCAGTGCATAAAAGTTGGACTTACGATCATGATGAACAGCGTAGTGATGAATGCAAACATCGGGGAAATTTCAAATCCGATAACAATTAAGGGTAGTATGATTGAATCTTTGGTTGCAATAGTTAGGACTCGTCTAGGACTTGATGGCCCTTGTATCGGATGCCTGCATGTTTCACGGTTGGAAAGAATGAAGTGACGTAGCTTGCTGCATCAAATAGCCTTACAATTATTGATATCCGCCTGGAACATTAGCACCCCGTCTTTGTCCCGACCAATTTAATGATCGCCCCTATCTACCCTACTCATTCACACAGACTCATTGTCGAACCCAGTAAACCTTGTGTGGCTATTGTGACATTGACCAGTGTGAGTAACCATAGTTGTAAAAAAGCTAACTATGACAATGGTATATATCACTACAACCCAGGTGTTTCAAATGGAAGTGCTATTTTACAAGGCAGCGAAAAATGTATGCGCCATATAGAAGTAAACAAATACCACATAAAAGCAACCTCACGGCCAGTTAAATATGTTGGTAAGTGAACCATTCCATTATGTTAGTCCCACATTTACCTTGTAGGTACGAACGTTTATCAGGCGGCCTTGGCATGGGCTGACCCCAGGGTGATCGAACATGTCCAGGAGAAGTGGGAGCTGGCCCAGGAGAAACTCAAGCAACAAAAGAAGTCGGGCAAGACGAGAGGAAAGGTGTGTTGTGTGGTTTTACGAAATGTTACATTCCGAAGATGTTCTCGTCTGCTAGAGTGCACAGCAGCTTGAATTCCAGATGACTAGGCGGTTATGTGCAATCCCGACGATGTTGGGACCATAACTGGAGAGTCTATGGAGACAGCATAATTCTTTTCTGTGACGCATCTCCCAGACAACCGTTCGTACTGTTACGCTGATGCCCATACATCTGCACAGAAACGGAAGGTGAATAAGAGTGGAGTCTGACTTTGAATTAGCGAAATTACCCAGGTTCTATCGACCATGGAATATGTGCGGTCCTGAGTTTCAGAGTGGGTAGGGACAATAACAACAATAGTAATAATAAAACACGTTTGGATCGATTTTCCTTCTCAGATTCAGTTAATCATTATTTGTATTAGAAAGCGTGCTCGGTTGTGATTATGTATGTCTGGTGCACAATCGCAGCACCGGATAAGTTGCAAATGAAGTGGTATATGCAACGATGTTAGTACTGTTACGTTCACACGTAAGTGTTTGCCTACCCATAGCTGTCTCGCTAATCAGCTTCAACCTTCTCTCCCTAAATTTCGCTAACTAAAGTTTCGAAATGCTTTTTAGCAATCTTTTGCAGCCAGATCCAAAAGCAAAGCGAAACCATTAGCACCTGTCTGGCCGGTGCCAGCCATCGCGATTCGTCGATCGCGTTCGTTGTACCGTGTAGCTACAAGAGGGTCCAGCAACAATCACCCACCAAATGCTACAGCTCCGCCCAAGAACACCTCCACATATTCCAAATTTCCATGGCTTACTCTGCCAACTCGAGCAGAACAACTTGTAAAGTTGGCAGAGGCGCGCGAACGTTATGGATGGGATCATGATCTTCCAGGAGTTTCACTGCGCCCGTTCGACAGGCGTCTGTCGGAACGTCTAAAGGAAGCGCAAACAGCAGAATAGTACTCAGCCGATTTGCCCTGGTACATTTATGTATTACTTATACACTTTTACAAAATACCAAAGACACATTTACCGAAATATGTATAGTCTGAGCACACGAAAACGGCCTTAAGAGCAAGTAACCGACGTGGCTATGCTTTCGTGCGGTTTGTTTTAAAGCTTATGAAATTAGGGTGTCCTAGATCGCGTGATATCTCTTTCAGAACAACCTAGCAAAGGAAACAGCCGCACAGTGGTTGGAAAGAGACCAGCATCTTTTAGTCGGTGCTATTACAAATCGAGTGCGAATGGGAATCGAAATGAGAACGGAAAAAGAATGGCGAAAAAGGGATTCCTGCGTAAAAGATGCCCACGTGTTGAAATGTTTAATTATGTATAGCCAGTTCGCAGGTGATTATCAAGCAGTATTTAAGAGGTACTTTTTGAGAAATCCATTTCTCCAGGTTGTATTCACATTACACGGGAAAAGTATCTGAGCAGCGTACCGATAAGACAAGATAGTACACAGGGTAATGATGGCACAGAACTTGTTTGTTGGTCACAGAACCTTCACATCTTATGATGTTCACTCAAGAAGATGGCGCTTATCAGAAAACCGCGATCGTTAGACCAGGTTTTAATGGCGTGTTTAACCAGGAAAAAGACTTTAATTGGGTGTTAGTATGTGTGGTGGAATTAAGGTAGCTTTTTGAGAATGCGAGTCCCACACAGCACAGCTACCTAGGACTCTTCCGTGCGCAGTCAGTTCAGATATGGTCCTGGCTTCAGACACGAGAAATATTCCACACAGACCGAAGGCTCAAATTCTCCTGAAGAAAGTCTAACGGCCGACTGCAAAAAGTACTTGTGATCCGGAAAGTTCATGATCTAACCCACAGGTGACTCCATTGCCGAATCAGGACGGATCGGTACTATATCTCCAGACCACTGCCTAAACAACTAAATTCAACCAATTTACTGAAATGGTGATTAACTTAGTCCATATGATAGTCAATAGATTTTAATTGCATGGCGTTAGCAAAGTCCATGCGATTTGGCCATGAGTGCTGGCGGCCGTATTGCAGTAGGCATTGCTACAGCATGCGTTGTTATTGCTAACAGTGATGGCCCAAAAACACGTACATGAGTTGCCACTTAATACGCCAATTGTGATCCTTAATGCCTTCATCAAGTGTGTCTGATGGTAGTCAGCGAGAGACGCACCTCCAGAAGAGGTGCACTGTCAATTTACCAAGTGACCGTACAGTACTGGGTAACAAACTAGATGTGTGCACAGCGTACCGTGAGCTCATGTATGTGGTGTGTGTGTGGGGGGGGGTGGGGGTTCGGTGAGGTCGTTGAGTCCGAACACGATTGCCAGTGTGTGAGAACGAAGTATGTAGACAAATTGCACACTGGGGAAAGAACTGGTCAAGGCAGAATAAGTTCACATTAATGCGGATTGCACACATGCTATTCGAAGGTACAGTAAGGGCTAAACAGTAGAAGTTAGACTTAGTGCTCAGCCGGCACTAGTTGATGTTTTCACGTAATACCCTCAACGCAGGCTGGAACACGCCCGTGTCATGGACACATATGGTTGGTATGCTAACACTGCGGGCGCCTCGTTGAGGCATGAGGTTATAAGTGCCAGGACAAACTGCTTTTCTTTAACAAAGTTAATGACAAAGTATCCAAATGAACAACAATAACGCCAGTGAACCAGAAATGCAAAGAATACTGATTCGCATGGAAGTCACTTTGGAGACTACTAGGGTGTTAGGAGTAATGTACCTCGAGTATTGTGTTGCTCGATTGGGTTAGGCAGAAGTTCAGACCACATAATCACAGTGAAAGGCGCAGATCCGAGTGGGTGTGGATTGAAACGTATTCCACATCGTGATACACTCGGTGATTTTAGGGATCCCTTCGCCTAGAGCTGGTGTTTATTTTCGTGAACAAAGTGGTTATGAACAAGTTGAAATCACAGCAATGCCCTATGAATGTAAGTGACCACTTGCATGCGAAATGTTGTGCTTGCCGTCACCTGAATCAGGCGAGGGGAATAGTGGTGGTCCGCACCTGATGGACTGAGTAACACTACGATCATGGATACAAGGCCAAATGATTGGTTTCTAATTTCAGGGGCAGTCTAATGGTTGTAAAAATGCAATCAGCTGATAAGCCGAGCGGCGCTGAAGTCGACACAACCAAGATTACATCCGCTCGGTCAGCTCTTTTGAGGGGTGTTAATCGAAAATCAGTTATTTCATAACGGCTCATAGGCGGACGCTGGCAGTATCGTCCGCTTGTTTCACCATCCAGACGTTCAGAGGAATAAATTAAACGAGTTGGTATCCTACAAGCGGCTGCACGGAGTCGGACAAGCCAGTCATTCTCAAAACCACTCATCAGTTCCCACTCAGAGAAGTCGCACCTTCATGTCCAGTATCCTCCTCGCGACAATAGTTGCGCGCAATTCATACTGCATCCGTCTGCAAATCACAGACAAGGGCAAGAAATATGGCACCAACGTAAGTAATACAGCACCCAAACTGATTGACTTTCGGTGCAGCTCGACCTCAACCCTTCACTTTATGACTGGACTTACTTGAGAAATCACCATATAACGGTGAGCCGATTGGTTGACAGCATGCGGTTCCGAATTTGCCTGTCGCTGCGGCCACCATGGGGACAGCCACCCGACGTCTGCGCCTACAGTTGCACTATGGGTGGCTTGCGCTAAACCCCCCACAAACCCCATATCCATGGCAAACCTGAAGGAGTAAGACTGGGAGGATTATGGATGACAGCAACGTTTCATCAGCGGAGCCGGCTCTCACTCCTTCAACATGCAGAACGGTAACTTTCCTGTCTAAAGAATTACTAAATCGTGCGTACCCGAAGTATACAAGGCGGTGGCATGATCGTATTCTTCCTAATACTGGATTAAACCACTCTTTGAGTATAGCAGGGACAAAAGGATCGTGCACCCACTTTCGCCACAGCAAAGATTCGCAGTCTCTTGGAGCCAGTAGTCGAGGTGGAAAACCCCAGGCAGGTAGACACGTTGTCAACATGCACCTCAAGCGCATCCACACCGGGGATATCAAGTAACAGCCAATCACTCGAGAAAAAGATAAGGAATAAAATAAATCGAGTAATGCATAAGGAAACATGACAAAAATCTTAAATTAATGAGCATATGAAATAAGTCTTTAACAAAGGATCAGAAAGTACATTTTACGGAAATGATACAAGCGTGAAAATGTTATCGAAATTAACTGAAATTGGCTTAAGCGAGTTGTGCAGGTTTATAGAAGAGTGTACAGGTGGACATTTATTTGAGAAAGAAAAGCATTAGGACAAAATTGAAAACCCACCACCTGAAATAAAGAGATTTAGCATGCAAGCACCCGGTTAGTAAATCGAATACAGCGTACATACAAACACCGCACTGGTTCTGCCTACGTTCTCTGCAGGACCCGTCGTCGCCTCGGTAGTGGCCCCGAGTGGCCTCGCTCATGGCTCACTAAGCCTGCCTGACTCAGGCACTCGCGACCGCATGTGCTACAGCACCATGCGCTTGATGTCGATGGAGAACAACCTATCGGTGCTTGCCGCTTCTTCTCTGCATGCACGAGGGCTTTCTCCTGCACCTCGGCAACTGCTTTCGTGATCAGATCGCGCTATGCACGCCGATCAACCGCCTTCGATTCCCATGATCTGCAATCAAAATTAGAACGTGAGATGCTCACTTTAATCATGTCCTAGTAACGTAACTTTGGTTTTCCCACGTGCCGCTTCCCTATACTCAGCTAATCATATAAGAGTTGTTTCGGCATCCGCGTTGAATCCATACGACACACATGACCGATCCACCTCAGAAGTCTCAGCAAAAGTATGCAGTCCACTGCATACATCCCACCGCGGAGTAACGCTTCCGTGTCTGCAACTCTGTCGCCCGAACCATATATATATATATATACATTATATATGTATATATATATACATATATATATATATATATATATATATATATATATATATATATATATATATATATATATAAATTTCTCCTGGGTGATTTCAACGCGCGCGTTGGGCGTGATGCATAAGCATGGACAGATGTTATCGGGGCGCACGGCGTTGGTTCAGCGAATGCGAACGGTGACAGGCTGCTCTCACTGTGTGCCACTCAAGGCCTGACGATCACGAACACTCGGTTTGCACTGAGTGCGATTGATATAGAAAGTTGGACGAACCCACGGAGTGGTCACGCTCACCTGCTCGACTATGTCATCGTACGTCAGCGTGATATGCGTGAAGTGCGCATGACACGTGTACTGCGTGGAGCTGAGTGTGGCACTGATCAGAAATTGGTGAAGACCAAACTGTACATATATTTTCGTAAATCGATGTATTGCACTCCCGCCGTGAATCGGCGTAAATTTAACATTCTCTCCCTCGGTACTGTGGCGAAACGTATTGAGCTGGAGAAGGCGATGGCTGCACGCCTGTGTGATGTGGACTGCATAGCCACAGTGGGTGACCTGTGGAACCACATTCGCGACCAGGTGACAGCTGCTGCCGAGGAGACCATCGGGCGTGCAAACTGTAAACGGCCTGATTGGTTTGATGACAACAATGCGACGATTGGCGCATTGGTGTAGTGGAAGAATGCAGCATTTGCTGCACATGCTGCAGACTCCAGTGACTTGGGAAAGGGTAGTCTGTTTCGAAAAGTATGACGGCGACTGATCCGAGAGCTCCGTCGCATTAAAAATGCATGGTGGACGGAGAAGGCGAAGAAGATGGAATGCTACGTCGAACGCCGCCAACAAAAGAATTCTTCGAATCCTTGAAGGCGGTGTATCGAACCAGATTGGAGCCGCTGAGGACGCTGATCGATGGTAGTTCAGGCGCTAGCTGTGCGCACACACTGCAGACATAATGCAGACCTGGCGGAAACACTTTGAATGTCTCTTGAACAACCGTTCAGAGATCGACTGGCCTACATTGAACGGCCTCAAGCAGCACGATGTGAAGAAGAGTCTGGCCTACACGCCGACACTGGATGAGACGCAGAGAGCC